GTCTGAGGCACCGAGCGCCAAACGGCCTGTGGCGGGCGTTGGGGCCTGGTAACGATCGCTAATGCTGCGTCCTTTGACACGGTGTTGGCGCTTGGCGGAAGGAGGAGTGTGTCCGCCTGCAGAGAACTGACGGGCTGTGCCCTGGATCCTTTCAGAGGCTGAAGGCTGCGGTTCACTACACGGTCGGCTGCCTGTGTCAGGACGTGGCGGGAGAGCGAGGCACTCAGTTCAGCAAACCGACCATCGCAGCCATCGCGGAGATGACCTTCCGGCAGTGCGGTATGGCCCTTTGCGTGTTTCCTTACTTGTGCAAGAGCCATGGCTGGCGAAACGATGCTTTTAAAAAAAAAAAAATAGCAACTAAGTATGGTGGATGTGTTGTTCTTTGCATTGCATTTTTGAAACCACAAGAAATAGCGATTCTGTTTTTCAGACCTGGAAAAAGCACTTAAAAATACATGGAAACACTGCGTGGGCCACCTGCCTGCGCAGAGGGTGGGCACGTAGTAACAGGTTGCGGTTACCTCTCGTGATTAACCTGGGTAATTTGCAGTTACACCTCGGTGTGTACCGTTACACCGTGTGTCTCTTCCTACTCAGCGTTTTAAAATACGTCTTTGTGTTTTCTCCAGAGACCTTTGCAAAAGACCTCGAAATGTTTGCAAGGTAGGTACTGGTACCCTTGACTGTTGGAAGGGCTTTCTTTGCATTCAGCTCTAGTAACTAGATAATCTTTAAAATATGCCTCGTAATTCAGTTTTTAGAGGGTTCTGTTGGCTGATTAAGTAGTGGCTGTGAAGTTAGGATATAGGTCTTCCCCTGTGGGTTCTTCCTGATCTTGGAAGCTCATTATTTAGGTTAATGGCCACGTGTAAGTGCCAGTGTGTTCATATGTAGCGGTACTGGATGATTCGGGACTGACAGATGCTTACTAGCATGGCTGTGATCCATCTGGTTGCTCCAGAGAGGTGAGGGAATGTTCTAAGGAGTCAGAACTTAGCACAGTGACCTGCTGGCAAGTCAGAGGGGATCGGAACGGTGGTGCTTGAAGTTCTGGGTGCTGAATTCTACTGGTTTTACACAAGAAGCGTGGGAATTTAGATGTACAAACTTGTGAAATAGGTTTTTGTGTATTCTGGTTGGAAAAGACAGGCGTGTTTGGTTTACTGGGTCCCTGTTAAGTCGTTCTAGTTAGTGTGCAGAGTTAGATGCTGTGTGCCCTCCTGCAACCAATGCTGGCAAACGCATTATGGGGTATTTTTAATTTCATGCAGACATGCGAAACGAAGCACAGTCACGACAGAAGATGTGAAGCTTTTGGCTAGAAGGAGCAATTCTTTGGTGAGAGGCACTGCATTTTCTGTCTCACAGTATTCTTAAATCCAATTGGTTAACGCCTAAGAGCACTTGAATGAAGGTTATAGATGATGAAGCTACTGTTGGTTAAGCAGTTTCCCTGGCTTACAGACGACGGGTGGGCACAATCCAGTGATTGTTTTTACATTTTCATCTTGTTTTGCTTCATGGCACTGTGCCTCACTGTGGGAACACAAATCTGATGGCAGTTCAAGCAGCAGTGTTCTGGTTGCAAGAAGACTGCTGCGGTTCCAAGTACAAAAGTACAGTAAACAGACACGTTACAGCATTGTCCATCTTGAAAGTAAATCACTGGGTTTTTTTCCTGATGTTGCATTTCTTGGGTTTAGCCAAATCACTGTTTTTTTCCTGATGTGGCATTTCTTGGTTTTAGCCTAAGGTCAGGAATAGCTTGAGTCCACCCTGAAGTGCTAAGTCTCCTAACATTCATAAGGGAATGATCCACATTACTGTCTCTCTCATGTGCTGATCTGTTCACTAGCATGTTAAGACGTCCCTGTAAATGCTTCCATGAAGAATAATTTCACGTGAGGGCTTTTTTCCTTCCATGTGTGATTTGAAATACACAAGGTGAACTCGCCCGAGAGGGTATAGTAAACGCTGGAGCTGAATTTTGTGTTCCTAGCTGTCCTGTACTATGTCAGGTGGGTGCAGAGGCATCTTGCAGTGTTTCTGTACTCGGATCGTGCCTTGGCAAACTACAACTCTGAGTAACTGCTGATGGTGCTGTCCTGGTTCTGGAAATGGGTGTAAAACACACTTAAAAATCCTCGTCTTGCCAGGGCGTTTCAGTATCTGAGGATAACCAGCTTAGACTGAGGGCTTGTGTAAGACTTAAAACTGGTTGATGTTTGACAGCCTTTTTGGGGTGTCTGTTGTCTTTTTTGTAATAATTTGTCCGGTTACTTTCTCTTAAACATTTCTAATTTCTCATGAAGAAATGAAGTTTCTCTGTAGATGACTGATTAGTTTACTGTTCTCAGCTAAAGTATATCACCCAGAAGAGTGAAGAGATCACATCAAGTAACATGGAGCAAAAGGTGAAAAAGAAAAAGAAGTCTGGTGCAGTTAAGGGACGGAGAGCTTCGGGGGAACAAGAAGCAGCTGTGACTGACAGTGAAGATTCCAATATGGCGTGACGTGCCTTTCAAGTCATGCCCCTGGACATTTTCTCCTGTTATCCCCACGGAACCGAAGTTAGCCTACGAGGGATTCCTCTTGAAGGTTAGCAACAGTAATGAGTTTTTGGGTGAACATAAGTAGTTGGGCTTTTTTGTTCCAGAAATGAAAGGAACTCAGTAAAGCTTACAGCCAAAATGCCTTAAGTGCTCACAAGAAGGTATTTTACTGTTACTAAAGAGAAAATCCTTTAAATAAAGTTTAAAGCAGAACATTCTTACTGACCACCATGCTTCAGTACCTGCAATGCCTCTGTGCTGCTACTTAGTTTCTCCCGGTAATTAACTTCCTGGCAACCTGGTCTAGTGGAAGGTGTCCCTGCCCATGGCAGGGGGGTTGGAACTGGGTGATCTTTAAGGTCCCTTCCAACCCAAACCATTCTATGATTCTATGATTCCTCCTTACTTCTGTTTTTGATGCTTTTGCTTGGGTATTTCGAATGGATTATTTTTTTGGTCTAAATAGCCATCTCTCTCGCTTGTTGTCTTGCCATTTAGAAGATGTTTTGTGCCATTTTCCCGTGATCCCGCTGGTGTACAAGCTTCATTCAGGAAGTTGCGTGGCGTTTCTATCTTCGGCTGTGCTGCGGTGGCACTCAGCAGTGCATCGCCATTGCCCTCTGCTGTCCTGGCAGCCGCTGCTGTTGGTTCAAAAGCAGCAGGTTCAAAGACGGCAGGAATTGAAACAGATACAGCCAAGGGAAATGAGAAGGCTGTTTCAACTACCGGGGGGGATACAAACTTAAAAAGCTTGCCAAGGGTAGTCTAAAATATGCAGCAGGAAAGTCTTGAACACTGTTTGTCTTGCGCTGTTTCAGCTACCGGGGGGGATACAAACTTTCCCAGAAAACCCAAAAAGCTTGCCAAGGGTAGTCTAAAATATGCAGCAGGAAAGTCTTGAACACTGTTTGTCTTGCTCAGCCCTTGATTTGTGAGACCAGCTCTTCCTTGAAGCCATGTGTTCCTTCCTGAGGATGCACCTCGGGGCACTTCCCCAAACCCAAGTTTAAGATCACCAGGTTCTCATTTTAGTAAGGCTCCTACCTTAAACACCACCCCAGGACAAAGAAGGTACCAGATGACACAGTATTTTTCATCACCCTGGAGAATTTAGGTGTTGCCTTGCTCCTTGTTTAAAATCCTCTTGAAAGAATACCACGCTTTCTGACTGGAGTCACTCAGCCGTACACGACACAGTCGGAAAAGAGTAATGCTCTGGGTTCCTTACATGTGCTGCCTTTTATTCTTGCTCTGTATTTGAGCTATGAAACAGTAGTGGAGAGGAAGAAAAAACCCCATGCCTTTTGTAGGGTGTAACTATCCAATATTGATCAAGTAAAATCAAAGTGCTGCAGTGTAGGAGACAATAGGAATGGCATGAATCTGGATCTGTATAGGAAATTTTACACCCTGAAACTTTTAAATACCTTCCTTCCTATGAAGGAAGTATTTAATTCCATAGTACGTCATGCTTGGGACAGAGGCGAGGAGGGGGTCTGGGAGCCATCACTCTCTCCCTTACTCTCTCTCGTTCACTCCTGTACACTTGCTGACCCTCTCCCTGACTCCTGCATTAGCTGCTTTGGTAACTCCTGTGCTGACTCGTTCGGGAGGGAGTTGGTGAGTTTGTTTAGTTCTCCCAGTCGTGCTATCGCTGACAGGGTTCGTTCAGAATCTGTTGCACCAGTGCTTGGGTGCTGGCCCTTGGGCTGCGGCTCTCGGCCTGCGATCGCTCTCGGGCTCCGGCTCTCAGGCTGCAGCTCTCTGTCTCGCACCCTCACTACTCAGCACCTGGTGGTGCAGTGGTCAGTGGGTGGTGAGCAACTGTATCATAATTGTATCATATTGCATAAAACATCATATGTTTTATTTCCTATTGTTTTAATTATTTATTATTAGTAGAATTTGTATATATTAATTTAGATTGGATTAGTAAATAGTTCTTATCTCAGTTTTACAAGCTTCCTTGTCCTTTTCCCTCCAATTCTTCCCCTCTGCTGGAGGAGGGGAGGGGGAATCTGTGCGAGTGGCTTCGTGGCATTTTGCTAGCTGTGACAGTGAGTTAAACATTCCTAATACAGGATTGAAATAATTATGCTATCATCTAGTATTTTCAGTTGATGTGAAACAGCCACAGATAACACAGAAACAGCCCTTCTTTCCTCTCGTCCAGCTTGAGGAATAGAAGTTGCCAAGTTGAGCTTGAAAAAATCAAAAGCATTGCAGGTTTGAGCAAGAGTGAAAAGCTGGTTTATAAAGGAGTGAGCGGTAATTGCAAACTAACATGCAAGCTCCCAGAAAGCCTGCTGACAGCTGCTCTGCTTGGCAGCCACTGTAATTCACATTGAGTACCACCAAAATTCTGTTAATGCGCCGCCATACATGCCGTTTCAGAAAGACTGGAACACAAAAAGCTTTTCGCAATTTCAAGCAGCAGGAAACCTTTTTACCTGCTGTGCCCTATGGTGTTACAAACCAGAAGTGGATATTCTAAGAAACAATTACTTGACTGAGCACAGACTGACCAAAAAGCTTCCCCATGCCGTCCAGTCACTTCCTATAAGGGTAGCTTCATCTGAAGGTACCCTAAGGGTTTTTGCTCAGCTGCTGAAAGGCACCCGCCTGTTAGTTACACTAACTCCGACTGTGCCATAATTCAGCTGGAATGTCAGCACACAGTGGTTCACCTGAATGCCTGCTGTAGGAATACTCAGCAGTTGGCACCCTGTACCATTTAAGGTTCGTTACATCAAAGGGTTTGCGTGATACTAGAAAACCTCTGTACCTCCTAAAACCCTCTCAGAAGTTTCAGCTCACTTTTCCATACCCATCTTCTGTTCCCACGAGAGAGCAGGTTGTGCCAGGTGGGAGTTCCGGTGCGGCGTCACCGGTATAAACATGCACTCCACCTAAACACTTCGGACAGGTTAATACAGAGTGCTCCTGTATTTCATTTCTTCTTCCTCTGTCCTTAAGGTAACCCTGTACTTATCAGCACATTCTTCAATCACAACTGGGAAGATCACAACTATCCCAACAGTAAGGTAAAAAGGTTTTAATGGTATTAGAAAAACTGACTTTGAACAAGTTTAAAAGTAAGCCAGTTAATACAAAAGCGTCATGATAGTACACTAATGATTAGGACAGTGATACAGACAGGCCAAATACAACTCTTCTGCCCCACAGAGCAAGTATTTCCACCTTCGCTGTGTTTTATAAGAACTTACACCGCACCCAAGAGGCACAAGTTCCTTACCGAAAATCACAGCACTTAAAGGACTTTGAATTTACTTTAACTGATGAAATTAGCATGAAAATTCAAGTTCCTAGATCCCAGGCTGGAGCTTAAAGCCAGCGAGCAGCTGGTAACCCCTCTGCCCCGTTCATTAACAGTGACTCCAAGTGTCTTCCAGAGGTCTTCCATCCTTGACACTGAAAACGGTGGGGGGACAAAGTATGCCAAGAGCCTGGGGCTCCGGAAGCTAGATCCATTATTATCAGATGGGAGCTTCTGGCTCCCAAGCAGGTATTCAAAGCTGAACCCTGACATGCTGTGCTTAGCAATACCATTGTTCCAGTATTCTGCAAAAGTCAAAATCCCTTTGGTTACATGATCTGAATCATCACAGGAGTTTAAGCCTCAGGACAATGTCCAGATTTTAGCTGTCTGTAGTCCGACCACGGAATGACCAGCAAACCATGGCTCCCAGGATGTATCTTTGCTTGTATCGTTTCTAATGCAAACCAACCCAAACCAACAGCAAAATTGGCAGCAGCACTACAGTCTTATTTTTTGCGTTTTGAACTAGGCCAGTCTCCCCAGGGTAGCGTTTTCTTGCCTTTTGATGTGCTCCTTAGGGACTGCAACGTCTGCACTTGCTCTAGACGCCTGCAGAGCTCCTGATCACACGCTTGCTGCAGAGCTTCGGCTTTCTGCTTGTCCCATCTCAGAGCCGAGGCCAGCGCTTCTGCGTCTTCTTTCAAGACCAGCTGCAGCAAGAGAGATTTCTAGCAGTCTCTTCTACCGACGCTCCTCCACCACTCACCCCTCTGCCCACGCTCAGAACAGCAGTAATAAGACACCTGCGTAATACTGGCAATTTGGTAACGAAGATGTTCCCACCTTTCAGAGTCTACCCCGTGGGCTAGCGTAGGAGCCTGAAGCTACATTCAGATGTTCAGAGGGACAGAAAACAGTTACTTGGTGTCTACAGCAGGGAAAAGCAAGAGAAGTTCTTAGCATTGGAAAGAACACACTTTCTAAGGGTTAAACTTTACCCAGACTTTCCTTCCATGCTGTGGGTTTATTTACATCGTTTTCCAAAATAAAGGAGGCTTTAATTTTGATTTTGGATGTATAAAAGAAATACAGCTAGCCGCATCTGCATACAAAAAAAAAATGTGCTGGTAGAGCCGAAGCACTGGCTGACTGATTTGGCAGAGATCAACCCCAAACTTACTCTGTGGCCTTTCAGAGGACAGACTAGAGTATTGGGAACAGTGTCAACTGGCTCTAACGGAGGAGCTCCGAGCAGGGGGTAGTGTTACTGAGGAAGAGAAATAGGTGAAATCTCACCACTTTGAGACTGAGATATACTGACATCAGAGCCTCCAGAAGCAAGGACAGTTCCCCCCTGTAACCTCTCTCTCCGAAGGGAGAGATTTGCCAGACTGTGGTTATGTCAGTCTCACCCACCTCTAGATCCTGACTGTCCAAGCAGAGCTCTGGGGCAGGTTTCTCTCTCAGAGCAGCAAGGACGTGGTCACTGAGCGCTGTTTTGGCTGAAGTGCCTGTGCTGCTGGTACCTGTGTCAACCACATCCATCTCCTTTCTTGGAACAGACTCAGATTCTGAAAAGTAGAAGAATCGTTACAGCCCATGACACGTCCAGGATGGGAAAAGTGGCCTGATGGCTTTGAGATTAATAAACTACGCGTTCTATCTCGGTGCATCCTCCAACCTAAGAAATCCGTAACTCTAAGGATGACTAGGTGATTTAAGCTTTTCCCCCAGCAGTCTACTTCCAGGCCTTAGGAGAAACATGACACAACAGCGAGAGGGTTCCTGGACACCTCTGTAACAGAATTCTTACACTGTACCAGCTGTTACCTGCACCACAGGAACAGCTGCTAAGCAAGTGGCTCACTCCAGCCCTTCACTCGGCCTTATTTACACCACTCAGCTATTTCAGGCATCTCTGAAAAGCTCCTCTAGCATCCTAATGCTCCCTACCTGCTACTTTGCTTAAGATACTGTCTTCCTTTTTCAAGGCCTCTAGGTAGAGTTCCAGGAGCTGTCTTGACTGCCGTTGCTCTTCTCGTCTGTCCAGCACCTGCTGTAGGGTGTCCTGCAATATCTGGATTTTGGGTTGACTCTGAGCAAGTTCTTCTGCCAGGTCTGAACGCGGTACATCAATAAGCACCTTAAAACGAGAGTGCTGCTGTTACATGGACTGATCGAGTAACTCAGTCCATGACACTGGTTACAGTACAAACAGCAAGCTTCCTGAATGTCCACCTTCGTGAAACCCAGCTTGTCTCACAAGGGTTCTCGTCACAGCAAGTCAGCCTAGTTAGGAGAGGCTGTGGGGGCACTCGGTCAACCAGCATTCTTTACCAAAAGGCGCCCAGGAAATTGTGGAATCGTGCATTTTTAATAGAAATTGTGACAACTTCTGGCAATCAAAGTCCCACTTCTTGTGCCTGCATGGGAATACGCAAAGGAAAGCCTGGCCCGTGGGAAGCTGCACACTGGAGGAGAACAAGAGAGAGTTATCACCATGCCTCACCAACATGGAAGGTCTTAGGCAGTCAGATACACTCATAGAACGGTTTGGGCTGGAAGGGACCTTAAAGATCATCCAGTTCCAACCCCCTGCCATGGGCAGGGACACCTTCCACTAGACCAGGTTGCTCCAAGCCTCATCCAGCCTGGCCTTGGACACTTCCAGGGATGGGGCATCCACAGCTTCTCTGGGCAACCTGTCCCAGTGCCTCCCCAGGAAGAAGTCGAATGACAGCAGCTCTTCGAACCCCTCTGGAGCAGAGAGAGTTGGCATGCTGCTCAGCCCTCCCTTTTCATACATCACAGAGGTGTCTGGATTTAAAAAATGAGCCCTACTCAGGTGCCCTTTAGCCAAATCTTGACTTTTTGCCCTCCCACTGCCAGACTGGAAAGACATGCTGTGAGGGACAATAAGGTGATTAAGAGCATCCTCCTCAGGCACCTCTGAGTTTTTCCTCCCAAGGAGAAATTTGGCTGTAGCACCACAGCCAGCTGAATTAAGCCCGAAATCACATTTACATATTCTGTTCTCTGCCATCTCCTGAGATAAATGGATGACAGGCAGAGCCAAGGACAGCAATGAGAGGTTTCCCCACTGTACCTGGAGGTCTTCTTCGGACATCAAGATGATATTAGACAGGTCATCCTTCAGTTGCCTGGCCAGCTGCTTCCACTTCTCTGCAGCGCTGTCCACTTCATCGGCAGACTCGGAGAGCCAGGCTGTTCCGCTGTCTGACACAAGAGCCAGGGGTCATTCCCGACCCCCCTGAGCCAGCCTAGTTTCACCAAGCGTATTCCAAGCCCTCCCCTTCCACGCTGCCTCATCCACGGAGTACCTAAGCTTTTGCCGGACCATCTCTCATTCTTGGCCAGCGCCACAAACGCGGTGTTAGAGGGCAGACACAAGAAGTAGTCCTCATCATCCACAATAGTGCCATCTTCTGCCAGTACTAAGGTGATGGGCTCCCTGGCGCTTTCAACACCCAGAATGCTGCTGGCTGCAAACAGAAAATACTCAGTGAGAAGACGAAAGCGGCACACGCGTTGCCCTTTCATGACACCCGTCACAAGAGACAAGCAACTCCCAGGAACTCGGGCTAGAGACCCGGGCCTGTCTCCACAGCGCTGCGCCGGAGGTTTTTTAGCACATCCTCACGAGTTTCCCTTCCAGAAGTTCATCTCCTTGACACAGGCACGGACGGCGGCGCATTCCAGGCGCTTCATCCCCCCTCCCCCCATTAGGAAGCGCCAGCCGTGTCTACTCCACGGCACGGATCCCTCCCAGCCCCACCGCCTACAGATGGCGGGAGGAG